TAATAGTAACATTGTTAGGCAATAAATATGGACTAGAATTCTCTAGGAAAAATATGGTGAATCTGACCTTAATAATATTCATGAAAAAGAAATGCTCAAGAAAAGAGATATCTCTCCCAGTTTAGAGTCACACATCTCTGCCACCGAGAAACTCATTTAATGTCATAGGAGCAAAAGCTCCACTCACTGACATTTAATGGTGAAAAAAAAAATAACTCGTTCTACTTTCCAAATAAGTGACATCATAGGCCAAGCTCATTTATTATGTAAATTTGATAAACTTTCTTTTGGTGTTTTGTTACTTCACATAAAGCATCCAGAGCCATTCAAAACTCCTTTCCTTAAATGAAAGGGCTTCAAAAATGCCATGGAAATTTCTATTACCTTCCTATCCCATTCTTCCATGAACTTTTTGAAGCCCCTGCATACTCTAATCACCTTGAAAATGTAAAGTTTTGAAGTAAAAGCTGTCTAAATGAAATGAAGCCAAGGTATAAAACAAACAGGACAAAAAAATGTAGACTAAAAATAATTCAATCCAATTCTACCCAACATGCATCTAGGCAAGGTTCTAGTAGGTAGGAAATGAATCTTATTCGTTGCGTGCACAGGCCCCAAAGATATTTATCAAAAGTATAAAAAGGCAAAATCCTGAATGCCTAAGACAGGAATGAGAATGCAGGAATTCCACATAACTAGCACACACAGTATCAGGAGGGACTGGTTCATGGACAAGGGCATCACACTTGGAGAAACAGGTGAGTGAAAAAGAGCACGACTCTCAAGGGATGAACAGACTCGGCGGCTGCAACAGTGGGCTCGGACCTCACAACGCCTTAGAGGATGGCGCAGGGCTGAGCAGTGTTTCCTTCGTGTTACGCGGGGTCAGAATAGAAGCAACTCAAAGGCACCTAACAAGCACAAAACACCAGTGCTTGACACATAATGAATCAACACATTAGCGAATCACTAAATGAATAAAAAATAATATAGGAAAAATATGAACTGAAGAATCAAATTTCTGGATAACTACAATTTCTTTCACATTTTCCTGCCATGTTACAAGTCAAATGCTCCAGCTGTTTAGTTAAGCAAAGGTAAAGGTTAAGACGATATAGCAAAGACTGCTTAAATATATTGTTTCCAGCTTGTTAAATAAATAAGAATGTTAAGAAGCTATCTACTACTTGCCTGTCAGAATACTGGAAGCACCATGTATTGCTAAAAGGGCAAAGTACGACCAGAGTGCTTCTTAAAGGCAAGGATGGTGACACGTCATCTCACATACTTTGGACGTGTTGTCAGGAGACACCAATCCCTGGAAAAGGGCATCAGGCTTGGTAAAGTGGAGGGGCCGCAGAAAAAGAGGAAGGTCCTCGACTAGACGGATGGACACTGTGGTTGCAATATGGGCTCAGGCATCGGAACAACTGTAGGGATGGCACAGGACCAGACAGTATTCCAATGCGCTGTGCATAGGGTGGCTATGGGTCAAAACTGACTGAATGGCACCTTATAACATCATACAAGAAACTACACCAAGTTTAGTATCTTGTCGCATATCATTGGCTTGGTCCTAATTGTTGAAAAAAAAAATCTTGTTTCAAACAATCCTCATAGTACAAAATCGAGTCGAGTTCAATACATAAAAAAAGGAGACTGTTGTTTCTTCAAATGCACATTTTTCAGTTGGCAGATGTTGCAGACTTAAAAATAATCAAAATAACAAATAGGAATGAAACACAGAAACAGAAGTCCAAAGAATTGAGTTTCAGTTTACTTTCATTAACTGTAAATTTATATAATAAAGTAAATAAATAGAATACTGCATTTAAATATATCAATAATATTTCCACATGGACTAGAAAGTGATTTAAAAAATAAATCCATAAAAACATAAAAAGTCATAAAGGATAGCATATCTCCATTCTAAATGTGATTTCTCAAATGAACAAAATTTTAAAGAGCAGGCTATCAATAGCAGTACCAAGGTGAATATTTTTGATAATCTGTCTTAAAATGTGTGGGTGGTAGGAGGGGGCTTAGGCACGCTTAACCATAACTTCTTGTCAAAAGCATAATAGGAACCACATATATGAACTACTTACCTAGAAAATATATAGATTGAATTTTTATTATTTAATTGCATGATGTTTTCATTCTTTGGCTCCCTAATTCTATATAAAGTGCCAATTTTGCTTTTTCAAATAAAAACAATCATCGATGTTTACTCATTTGGTAGTTAGAATGTGAAAAGTCTCAATAGTGGAAAACAGCTGCAGAGGTCAAGATGACGGTACTCCAATTGGTTTACGAATCTGGTCATCTGCTTTCTAGTGCATATAGTTCTTGATGGATTGGATCTTCTTCAGACACATACTATATTGTTGTTGTTGCTCGGTGCTGTACAGTCAGGGATCCTATGCACAACAGAATGAAACACAACTTGGTCCTGCCCCATTCTCACAATTGTGTTTGAGCCCATTTGTTGTAGCCACTGTGTCCATACAGTAGTATAGTTTACTACAGTGATTAAGAAATTTTTTTAGGCATCAAACTCACCTCCAGGGAGTCCATTACGGCTCATACGACCCTATAGGACAAAGTAACTACTCTTATGGATCTTCAAGATTATACCTCTTACTGGGAGTAGAATGCCTCAACTTTCTCCCAAGGAGGAGCTTTTGAACTGCTGACCTTGTGGTCAGGAGCCCCACACATACTGTGTCTTTGTATGACACAGAAGCTCCTCTCTTTCTGGCATATCATACTGAAATCATTGTGCAAATAGATCACTTGGGGAAGTTATTTAAAATATCCTCCCCTGGCATCACCATCCCTGGTGGAGAAGTGGGCTAAATGCTGAGTGCTGACAAAAGGACCATCAGTTCAAGCCGCTCCACAGGAAAAAGATGAAACTACCTGCTCCCATAAAGATTTACAATCTTAGAAACCTAAAGAAAGGGTCTACTCTGTCCTGGAAGGTCCCAATGAATCTGAATCAATTGGAATGTAGGGGGGTAAAGCATAACTAATAATAGAGCCTAGCTCAAAAGATCACACTGTATGAAAGACTTGGCACCAAAACTAAAGGGTAGCATTCCCAATGGTGCTATAGCTTTATCTTTGTAAAGAAACAAATCCAAGGTACAAATACGCTCATAGAATGAAAAAGAATTTCATTAACAAACTTTGAGTGGAGTTGAAACTAAAAAAAAAGCTTCAAATCACCACAGTAGATATGATTCTACCAAATCCATTGTAAAATACTGATAAAGAGCTAGGACCTATATTCTGAGATCATACGAAAGTATGAATGGCAAAAAGGAAAAGGGGATAAGGCTTTTGAAGAGATCATTAAAGAAGTTTTCCTCTATATTATAAAAGAGATTAGAAGGTGGAAAGGAGAATAAAGAGTTTGGTCATCTTTTAATATTAAATATTAAAATATACATATCATAGATATTAAAATCACCAGAGCAAGACCCACATAGGTAGCCTTTTTATCTCCCTCCTTTAAGAAGCTATTGAATTACTAAGGATGCCCACAGGAGGAAACTTCCCTGATAATGTCCTATATCTTGTTTTGTATGGTGACTTTTACAAATACATTCAATTGCCCAAACTAAACACTTTAGAACTGTTGTTGTTTTTTAAGTACGCCCTCTTTAATACAGAACATAACCAAATCTATCTTAAACTCACTGCCATTAAGTCAATGCCAACTCCTAGCGGCCCTGTAGGGCAGGGCAGAACTGCCCCTGTGAGTTTCCAGGGCTGTTGCTCTTTCTGGGAGTAGCAAGCCCCCTGGGCTTTCTCCCCAGTAGCAGCTGGTGATTTTGAACTGCTGACCTTGCTTATTAGCAGCCCAATATGTAATCGCTACACCACCAGGGTTCCAATCACCAAATTGATACTCCTTATAAAATAAATGAAATATTCGGGGCAAGACATTCTTTTAACTTTTCCCTGTTAGATGATGCAAAAGAAATGATTTGAGATTGCAAGTTACTAGAACTCTCTCCTCAGTTTCTGTGGCACCTTTGGAGTGGATATGTACTTTTTACCCATATTTCAAGCGCTGTTCAAAGTATTAGGTTAGCAGATTGCCAGTGGGAAACGCGCTTGTGTGTTTCACTGTTGGCCTTGTGTACAATTGCAAGAAAAGAGCAAAATACTAGAGGCTACATCAGTTTTCCAGTAGAAACCCCCAAATCAGCTTCTAGCTCTGGAACTAAAATGCACAGGGCATCTTTGTATACTGAAGTAAGTCACTTACTTAAGGGCACTAAATCACTTAAGTGTTATCCTGTGCCTGTGATAATCTGCTACTCCAGGGATGTTATAAGGATTCATTTGTAAAAGTGCTTTGATAAATCAAAGCTATACATCATGCTCAAGTGGTACTGATGAGGATGAAGGATGTGGTTAAACCCCAAACAGAATCCTGACATTTACATGTTTCAAAGTTTGAGGAACACCCATATAATCTCATCTGAACTAGAATGGATCATTAAAGGGAGTAGAAGCAGGTATTCACCCCCTCCCAAAAATAAGACTATGAGAGGATGATGTCTCTTCCCTAACTGAACTTCCAAACGCTAGCTCTCTAGATTGGATCTTCCAGGACATTCGGTATAATCTGATCTACATGTAGAAGGGCTTGGGCGAATACGACCTAGAATAAAATACATTCTTCCTGCTCGGAACCTGGTCAATGGTCCAGAAGGAGATGAATTGCCCTGGAGTACAGGAGTCTTAGCCCTAAAATAGCTAGTATGAAGCAAGCAATCAACAAGCATTCGCTGTATTCCTTCGCAAACCTCGAGCACACACCTCAACGGCTCCCTTCAACTGCGCTCACCCCTGGCTCCCGGGAGGCAAGGCCTACAAGTCTTCGGATCGTCCAACCCAACTCCCTCCCCTTGGCCAAGCCAGGTCCAGCGGCCTCCGGCCATCGCACGCGCCCGGCTCTCCCGCCCCCGGGGCCGCAGCCTCACCAGCTGTTCCCGGCGGGTGGAGCTCCGATCGGTTGGCGCCCGGCGGCCCCGAACATTAACGACACCCAGGAGCCTGGCCCTCGAGGCTCAGGCCCGAGAACAGGCTCCAACTACTGTACCACAGACGGCTTCCCAAGAGCAGTTGAGCATTTTCGCAGGAGCTTCCGGAAGCGGGCGGGAGGCGGAAACCGGATGCCGGAAAAGCCCATGCGTTCTCCTCCTCCGCGCTCGCCTCTAACGCCTCCCGGGTGCTCACGGAAGAGATGAGACAAATAAGGTCAGCCTTTTCCTTCACATATTTGTTACATTAATAGTATTTTGTAAAGCGAAATGAAGTGGGAGAGCCCAGAGAAGTAAAAGAAAATCGGAAACCCTGGGATTCGCTTAATGGTTTAGCCCCGTTGCCATAGAGACGGAGAGTAACACCTGATAGAAACCAGAACCCAGAAGCTATGGCTACATTAGCCAGGTTGCAAGGTCGGTCTGCGACTATAGGAAACCTTTACTACTTTAAAAACAGGTAAGTCGACAAGGGCGGAATCTGAGCGAAGGCTGGCACGACCCTATTAATTGTCTCACAGGCGTTTCCTGTCAACAAATGTCCTACTCCAAGTAGTAGCACCTCTTCCTCCCCGCTGGTAGACATGGACTAGGTTGGTCTCTAATTGTGGGTAACGGTGGATAGAATGGCAATCCTAGAACGCTTCATTTTGCTCCTGTGGAATCTGTACATGGACCAAGAGGCAGCTTTTTGAACACATAGAATTGAATAACAATGGTTACTGTTTGGTTAACAGTAAATAAAGAAAAAGAAAGGTGTGTGTTAGGGTCGTATCCTTTCGCCACATTTATTCCATCTCTATGCTCAATAATAATCCCAGCAGCTGGACTTTATGAAGAGGAAAGTGACATCAGGATTGGAAGAAGACTCATTCATAACCTGTGATATGCAAATGATACACCATTACTTGCTGAAAGTAAGGAAGATTTGAAACATGGACGAATACAGATCAAAGACCGCAGCCTTCAGTAAGGATTTCAACTCAACATAAAAATAATAATAAAAAACTTCAACATTAGAACTATAAGTAACATCATGACTAATGGAGAAAATAGGTTAAGACTTTCATTTTACTTTGCCCATGAAATCTTCCAAGAAATCAAATGGATAGTTCATTGGGTACATTTTCTGCAAAAGACCTCTTCTGAGCTTTCTGCACTTGATGGTCTGTGTCACAGTTGGCACCTGGCAGCCTAGTAGCGTAGACATGAACCCCTCCCTCTGATTGGAATTAATTGCTTAATTTTTTGTTTCTACTATATTCAATCCTGACTGGTAGAATTTACCAAGGTTTCTTCCAAGAATATAATTATAGTTTAGTTTAAAGTGCTAAAGACAGTTCAAATCTTAATTCTGTATTACTTTGGACTCTAATTTTTCATAAATTTAAATTCAATTCTTACAGTGAAACTCTTCCACTAAACTAGAATTTCAGCTTCCTTATCTGCAAAAGAAACTGCTATATATATGTTAATTAACAGGATTAAATTATTTCAAGGCATATTAATACGCACTCATGATGTGAAATTATAATGGAAAATTACAACAGAAGGAGAAAACATGAAATGCATATGATCAACTCAGTGGATGTCCAATAAAAGCAGTTCAATTTGATATTTTCCCTGAAATTTTGTCTTTTTTAAAAAACGTATACACTAATATTTGGTGGTGTGTATAAACTATAAGCTTAAAACTCTATTCAATTTAACATATGAAGATACTTGTGTAAAGTCTACTCAGAAAAAAATAGTGTTTGCTTTTAAAATATTATTAATTAGAAATTTTAAAAATTCTTAATAATATAGACTGTGTTTCTAACACCAAAAGTCATCATATGTCCAGGTGAAGTACAGTATAGACAAAGTGAAGCTTTGTCTTTAATTTAATTGAAGGTAAAAGTGCACATTGTCATTTTCTTTTTGAATGTTCTCAAGATTGTGGCTTTTACTGTTATTAATATTTAAAAGGAGGAAATGAAGCATATTAGTTGCAGATTGTACAATTCTAAAACTTGGAAAGTACATGGGAATGCCCTGAGTAGCTGTAAGGGAATAAATTGAGTGTGGAAAAGTGTCAGGTTACAAAGTAAATTGAGAAAACTGACTAACTTTTCTTGGAACCAGCAAAACCGGGTGAATAATTGGGTGGAGAAGGCCAAACTCTGCCATTGAGTTGACTCTGACTAATGGCGACCGATCGGACAGGGTAGCACTTCCCCAGTGGGTTTCTGAGACTAGCTCTTGACAGGAATAGAGGATGCTCCATCTTTCTCCCAACGAGCAGCTGGTGATTTGGAATTGCCAGCCTGCAGATCTCAGCGGAACGTGTAACCACTATGCAACTAGGGCTTCTGTCAAAAAGACAGTCTAAGGATTTTTGTATACTTCTTTCATTCCATTCAATATATTACTGTTTTAAAATATTGGTAAAGAATTATGTGCAAGAATGATAAGAAACAAAAATCTGCTCCATTGCTTGACCAGTAATTTTGTAGGATTTTTAGAAGATAAATTTACTAGGAAAAGGGGATAATGACTGCTTAAAGCTACATGCTTGATGTTTTCTCCCTCTCAGCCCTTTACTGGTTCAACTTAATGGGCAAAATAAGCAAGCCAGAACAATATTTACTAAGAATTGAGCTGCGTGGAAGAAGCTTTACTCTGGTGAAAACCATACTGGTGGGGCAAATTAACTAGCAGAAATGCATCTTCAAAGTCTGCTACCAAATGCTTGAAGTTGCCACCTCTGAGAAGGAGCAGCTTCCTTCCTTTGACTCTATCAGGTTGATGTAGAATTGGGTGAAAGAATTCCTATGCCTCTTACCTCAGTAGAGAGATCCTACTTTTCTATCTTGTTCACTTCTAGTTTTTTAGTTTAGTTTAGGTTTTTTTGTTTTTTATTTAATTATTTTATTGGGGGCTTGTACAACTCTTATCACAATCCATATATACATCAATTGTGTAAAGCACCTTTGTACATTTGTTGTCATCATCTTTCTCAAAACATTTTCATTCTACTTGAGCTCCTCATTTTTCCCCTCCCTCCTAGCTCACCCCTCCCTTGTGAACCCTTGATAATTTATAAATTATTATCATTTTGTCATATCTTACACTGTCCGACATCTCCCTTTACCCACTTTTCTGTTGTCCATTCCCCAGGTAGGAGGTTATATGTAGATCCTTGTAATCAGTTCCCCCTTTCCACCCCACCTTCCCTCCACCCTCCCAATGTCGCCACTCTCACCACTGGTCCTGAAGGGGTCATCTGTCCTGGATTCCCTGTGTTTGCAGTTCCTATCTGTACCAGTGTACATCCTCTGGTCTAGCCAGATATGTAAGAAAAAATTGGGATCATGAAGAGGGTGGGAGTAGTGGGAACTAGAGGAAAGTTGTATGTTTCATCTTGCTACACTGCACCCTGACTGGCTCATCTCCTCCCTGCGACCCTTCTGTAAGGGGATGTCCAGTTGCCTACAGATGGGTCTTGGGTACTTCTAATTTTTTGAAAAAGAAAAAAAGTCTTGACAGTTAAGTTTCACTGCCTGACCATGACTCCTCAACTGGCCTGAGCCAGCTCTTTATAGATTTCCAGCAACTGAATATCTTCAGCTCTTATGGGCAGATGAAAGTTATAAGCTGTTCAAATAACATTAGTTTACAAAAATTAGGTCAACAAAAGTTGGGCTGCTGCTTGATGTGGGGTAACAACTAATGGACTTCAGTAAAATGTAATAACGTTTATAGAGAGAAAGTAACCCCCCCCCCAAAAAATCTGGAGCCCTTTTTAAAACAATTTTTTAATTAAAAAATGTAATTCAGAATAGTTAAAGTGAAAACAGAATAGTCACTGCTAGGAAAGTACCTTGGACTTGGTTCTCTAGAATAGCAAAGCCGATATAATTACATATATTTTTCTTGATATAGGTATGTATATATATATCAAATATATCTATTTCAAGAAATGGTTTACACAACTGTAGAAGCAATCACGTTCATGGAATATTACAAGTCCACAGGTTATTCCTGCAGCTGACAAACCTGTATTTGGCAGGAAGACTACCGATGGGTGGCTACAGAAAAGGTAAAATCCAAGGTCAGAAGGCCAGGCTTATGGCTTCAGAGGTAAATGAGTCCAGGGTGGGTGGGTCTGCTGGGTCATCAACCCTCGGATGTCTCCAGGATTGGCAGGAAATATAGCAGGTCATTGACTTTCAAGTCCAAAGTACTGGAAGTCAAAGCACCAGATGCAGGAATCAAGCCCAGAAAAAAGCAAACAAATGTTTTCCAGTGTCAACCCATAGAGGAAGTGTGCTACACCCAACAAAACTTCCTTTCAATTGATTGCGTCCAGGCTATGACCAGAGTAAGGATGTTGCGTCCCACCATAATATTCTTATGACTGATTAGCTACACATAGCAGATCCCATTTTTTGGAGTTGTGTACATTGTTTTAGGTCAAATCATGGGGGATTAGTAGGTCTTAGTGGCCAAATAATTATTCAGCACCCCTGGAAATGAAAAAAAAAATTGTACTATTGTGCAAACTCCAGGATAAAATGTAGGCATCTGCTCTTGCAGACCTCCTGGATCATTTCCACCACCTTCTATGGGGGAGTATTCCCATTATGAGAACACTGGATTAGAGGTTCTTCCAGTCTCTAACCAACCAATAAACCTGGTTTCTCTTTTGGTTTTTAGTGTTCCACATTTTCTCTCAATCTATCCAGGACCTTCTAATGTGAACTCTTCTAGAGAAGTTGCCAGTGGTAGCTGAATACCATCTAATTCTTTGGATCTCAGGATCATGGAAGCTGATGTTCAGACAGTTAATTAGTTGAACTAATTGCTTCTTTCCTCTGAAAAGGGAGCTATCAAAAGCTGCACCTTAGATGGCTGCTCATGAGATTTTTTTTTGATTTAAGGAAAATATTAAGTCTTAAAAGAGACAATGACAACACAGACACAGACAGATCCAGATAAGACACCCTTTCTTGAAATGTCATTACTTCTTGATATAAAGTTCTTTCTTATACGTATATAACTGTCACTTGATTTGTTTCTCTTTTCCACCCAGCTTTAACATATCAGGTTGTTGGGGAGTAGGGTGCTTGAGAAACAAATCATAAAGGAAGATGGAAAGTGGAGGCTTGTCTGACCTCCACCTTATGAAAGTTGGATGGATTTATCCTTTTGGTCAGATATGGCTGCATGGTTTACTCCTTTGGTTTCTGGAAGTAAAACTTTTGATTCTTAGAAGCTGCCGGGAGCAAATAAATGCAGTGGATCTTAAGCTGCAGCTCTGGGAGCCAAAAACACTCTTGAATTTTTCTGAGGCAAAAATCATGCAGCTTAGACAAAATGGCTTGATCCTGCCAGAGGCCTAAGGTTGTAGTGTATATATGAATGGGATAGTTTACATAAGAAAAGATTGAATTTGACTATATTAAGAATTGTGTTTAG